ATATATTTTTATATATATATATATATATATATATATATATATATATTATTATATATATATATATATATATATATTATTATATATATATATATATATATATGTATATATTATTATATATATATATATATGTATATATATATATATATATATATATATATATATATATATATATATATATATATATATATATATATATATATATATATATATATATATATATATATATATATATATATATATATATATATATATATATATATATATAGTTATATATATATATATATATATATATATATATATATATATATATATATATATATATATATATATATATATATATATATATATATATATATATATATATATATATATATATATATATATATATATATATATATATATATATATATGCTGCGCGCAGGGTAGTTAGTGGCTTACGTCTTGGCTGGTTGTTATACTTTAAAATAATTTTGTATATACCGATAAATCAATATTCCGAGTATATAAATATATAAACTGGGATGTCACACTGATAGCTTGTTTACATTTCCTGGAGCATCATGAAATCTTATGTTTAACGACGGTGGTTTAACCCATTAGCTGGCAATGCGCCCTTCCCTTGTCCAACGCCAGAAGATTTTACTCGTCAGTGGTATAGGGTACTGCCAGTAAATGGGTTAACAAACCTATCTGCCAATGGCTCTTGTTAATTCATCAACACAGTAATGGCCCCTACTTTAGTATTTACCCTGTCCAACGCCAGACGATTTTTAATACTCAGTCAGTGGTAGGGTACTGTCAATAAACGGGTTAACAAGGATAACAATAAGAGGATGTTTCTGAAGGACTCGTTCAACACCCTGTAGTTTGTCTTTTGCTGTCAACGGCAGCATTACTGCCCTGTGGGTAACCTAGTTTTAAAAATACATGCTGGATCTCATGCTACTCTACGAACTAAAATTTAGGATATTCTGGATAGATCCAGCTACAAACCAATGGCAATAAAAGCTCTTTATAATATTTAAAATGTGCGTGGTGTATATTACTGTAATAAATATGAAATAATTGTTATATACTCATATACAATGCTATAAACAAATATAATATTCAAGTTGTACCGCACCGAGGACTTTGCCTACATCGGATGACATACGTTTGATCACAGAAAGCTATACTTCAACATAAGTCTTGATCATGGAGTCTCAGCGATGTTTCAGCGATGCCAAAACGGCATATATCACAGTCTTTACGGGCTCTAACAGTCGGGAGAGCATGTTTAGAATTTACACACAGTTGGCAAGTGGGCCATTCCATTTAAAATCCACACCCCCCTGTTGACGATGTTATCGATTTTAGACCCCTTCGGAAACGGTTTTCCGGAAGACACCCTCGGAAATTCGCTATTTTTTTGTAGAACCCTTTCGGAAATTTACGATTTTTCTCAAGCCCCTCGGAAATACCTGTTGACGTGGTTTCATTACAATATACTCCCTCGGATATTTTCGCGAATTTATTGACACCCCTAGGACATTTTCGTCAACAGGTAGTACCCCCCTCGGAAATTATAAAAAATATTTTGACCCCTTGGAAAATTAAAAAACATTTTACCCCTTCAGAAATTTTCCTTTTACAACTTCCTCGGAAATTTCAACTTGGCACACCCTCAGAAATTCAGAATTTTAGACCCCCTTCGGAAAATCTCATCTTGAGGGAGGATAAATGGAATGGCCAAAGATTACAGGATCTCGTTATTTTATAGCAATTCCACATCTCTATACGTAAGGTAAATCCGTTGGGTTTACGTATCGGACAGGATACACTTTAACACTGACAACAGTCACAACCACATCGTTTGCTCGATCGATCGGTCGGTCTAGAAGATTTTTACACTTATAGATTGTGTTTTTATAGCGAAGCGTGCTTTCCTTCCCAAAAGTTTTGTGTCCACTGAAATCTGATCCAACTTCTCGCTTGACTAATGTAACCCAACACTCAATTATATAAAGGAGGTCGTGTCATAATAAATATGAAATCTTTCAGGATTTCTTGTTCCATTCATCTCTTACTTTGTACACGCATGCATTCATTACCTGACTGTCCAGAGAACTGCGTCTTAATAACAGATGCAATCTCATCTATTATATCTTCAGGAGTTGATGGTTTCCTTCGAACCTGAAAAAATAATTATAGTAGCTGTAAAAAATATTTTGTTAGCGTATTTTCATAACTAGACACGTCTCACTGCCAGTGTTGTAGTTAAGTCCACAACTTACGAGTCCAAGTCCGAGTCTTATACATGCAAGTCCGAGTACGAGTCCAAGTCCCTTAGCAAAATTTCAAGTCCAAAATTTTCGAGTCCGAGTCTTAAATATTTCGAGTCCAAGACCAAAATGATAAAGTGCAATCATGATTCCACAATCCCATGCATTTTTGCAAAGTCACGATGTAATCAAAGTAATATGGTGGTGGCAAACAGATCAGACTAGTGATATTCAATTTCAAGTTTACTGTCGATGCAATGGAAGTGTTGATAAAATATTGCACCAATTCCTTTCCTCAAGTTGATCAACTTCCTGTTACTTTTAGATGAGCCAATTAGATTTTGTTTCAGAACTGATTGACCAATAGGAAACGCACAAGAAGTAAAAAGAAATCTGAATTCGTATGAATTGATCAACTTGAGGAAATGAATTCATGCAACATTTTATCAACACTTCCATTGCATCGACAGTAAAATATATACAGTGCAAAGCAGTATAAGATTGCATATGCAGTGACTTAAGTATTGAATTCCGTAAATAGAAATATTTTTCTATATCGAACGAAAAAGCATTGATTAATAATAAAAAGGTCGTAAGATATAAATCATGTGATCTCCACCTCTCTCATCTGGTCAGTGAGTTATAACACGTCACGTCGAATTTTGTGGCAAAATTTTGTCGCAAAAACAAATTAGGTAGTGTTTCCATATTGGCATATATTCTTGTCGCGAAAACATCTTTGGAAAATTAAGCTTGAAACGCGTACTGACAGAGCAATTTCAATTTGTGCTGTTTTAACGCCAAGTGGCAATAGAGGTTATAATTTTAACGAAGCAATGAGTATATCAACGAGGAAATTTAAATGGTGGACTCGTACAGGACTTGACCTAAATTCCCAAGTCCAGAGATGTAAAGTCCTAGTTGTTTGATATCGAGTCCAAGTCCGATGTGTTCAAAACCGAGTCATACCCTCAAGTCCTGGCTCGAGTCCAAATCAGGACTAGAGTCCTACGACACTGCTCACTGGATAGGTAGAGGGTTTGTGTAGATGGAATTTTAAATGTAAATTCAATCCATCATCATCATTAGACCTAACCATGAACAGTTGCGAAATATGCAACTATATAGGTGCTCTAGCAATAATCGAACCTGCCGCCCTGCGATTCCGGCGCAGTGCTCTAACCAACTGAGCTACAGAGTCCAGTTGTCAGGTTCTAACCGCAAGGTCATGTATATGTAAACTAAGGTGATGCTACTGTAGTGCAAGTTGTTTCTGGTAAATATCAGGATTCTGGGTATCGCACTCGGTAAAACTATCAACGTTTTTCGAGATGAAAATTTCGAGTGTAACTGAATACTTCTCTGTAGCTCAGTTGGTTAGAGCACTGAGCAGGAATCGAAGGTCCTGTATGTGTATATATATATTTACTAGAAATACATACATGCAGTAACCCCTCGCAAATATTGCCATACATTAAACATGAAGTATTCAGAAATGACCAGCAATGAACGCCGGCTCGCGCTCAAGTGTTGCCATGACAACACGATATTCTTAAATTTTTATTTTCATATATTTTGTACAAAACTGCAAAATAGTTGACAGATTCGTACTTTTAACTATACAACAATAAATTTCCGAAATACATACTGTAGGTATATTATTTTGCATTTTGTGAGCTTTGATTTAATGTAAAATTTAACTTGAAATGCTTCGTAAAATGTTTTGAAATGTTCATTCAAGTAAACCTACATTTTGCCGATAAACTGTTTTTACTTAACAAAACATGATAAGTTTAATACAAATAAAATAAAATTGTTAGGTAATTTCAGTTCAGTTTTCAAATCAATTTGTTTTCGCCTTTACATTTTAAGATTTTTTCTCAAATTAAACGGTAATTTATGAAACTTAGAGCTTCTATAGTTCATGTTTTTTATTTAATACGTAAAAAGTTAAAGCAACAAAATTCGTAAACATTTTAAAAATATTCAAAGCAAACTTGCCGTATATTTCACGATTTCCCGTAGTAAACCAATTCTTCTCATTTCTTCAAACAAAATTGCTTCAAGCTTGTTGTATATGAAACGTTTTTGCAAATATATGTCTTTTAAAATTGAAATCTTGCTTGCCATATTTTTGAGATAAGTGAGGATGACCACCCACTCAAGATCGTCGTTCGTTGGTCAGCGCCCGCGATGATTGATGAACTTTAGACTTCGCTAATGCTTTCGTTTCCCCGGGTGTAAATAGCCGGGGGGGATTAGTACCCTCGCACGGCGCTTCGCGCCGCCGGCTCGGGAATAATATAGCATTTGTAAATTCTGAACGCTGATTGGCTAAGAGCCGTGTTGATATAACTCAATGTCAACACGAAAACGTCGGAAAATTTCTTTCTTTATGTTTCTTCTTTGTGCTATATTATAAAACAAATATAAAACATTTTTTCCGTATTGATATATAGTTATATCAACACTCGTGGAAATGGGGAAAACTCGAAATTGTGTGAAAACACTCTGCCTTTCGGGCGTCGTGTTTTCACACAATTTCTCGTTTTCCCAATTTCCACTCGTGTTGATATAACTGTATATATCAACACGGAAAATGTTTTACATTTGTTAAATATAATATATAGTTGATTTTTTTCGCAGCTGCTCTTGGTTAGGTCTTCAAATGAATATTTACAATCGAAATTTCCATCTACAAAACCCCCTTAATATTTCCTTCATAGATTGGGATACGCACTCTAATAGATTGATCAGGTGGATGCGAATGCTCTAATGGTTGCTGTCATAAGGTTTCCACTACAGTTGAGAGTCTGCCAGAGCATTCTGCAAATTTCCCCGAGAACTGTTTCCCATCATTCTTTACGACCTGACGTCAAAACACGTTCCTAACAGATGAGTCATCCGCTGCACAAGTTACAAACTATCGATATGGATATGCACTGCTAATAACTCACATGACGATTGAGTCACCGTTCCAAACAACTTGATAAACAATGTCGGCGAACGTGGGTGTAGTGCTGTGCGCCGGAGCTGCCGGAGCTGGAGTTCTGCCGGAGTTCCGGCGGTTTTTCCGACGCCTAAGCCGGAACAGAATTTTGTATGCCGGAGCCCGGAGCCGGAGTTACGTTCTCCCAGCTGCGGCAAAATGACAAGAAAACAATATGAAATGAAACAAATGTCAAACGATTGTTAGTTACTGCAAACTGCCAATTGCTGTTAATGAATTCATCATAGACTCAAACTACCACAGCCTACAGGAACAGCGTCGAAAAGCTGTAATACGATCGCAACTTACAAACGCCATGCTTTCATGAAGCCCATCTGACTTAGCGCTACATAGTCTGTGTATTCATGCCTTGTAGATAACGAAAAAGTACGAAACAAATAAATATCAACCTCTTGAAAATGACAGAGTACTTTATTTGCATGCGAACAATTGCGCTGTGGAGTCTGAGAGTGTTAGCGTCATGCCTCGCGTCATGCTATAAAAAAATTGCAACACTGTCAAAAAATTTTCGAGTTTTCGAGTCAAAAAGTTTTCCATATAGATATTTTCTGCGTGGTTAAGTGTTTTCACTGTTTTGTTTCCCGAGTTATGTTATCTGATAATTAGGAAGCACGAAAAGGGTTATTCATAATAATATTAATAAATGTTCTCTGATCGTAAAATATTAAAATATTTATTTAATATTTTATGATGTGGCCGGAGCCGGAGCTCAGAGCTATAATTCGGCCGGAGTCGGAGCTGAAAAACCGGAGTTTGCACAGCACTACGTGGTTTGACGAAATAACATCTCTATTTTCGGCAAATTGTCCGTTCGGCAAAATGTCTTTTCAGCGAAAAGTCCGTTCGTGAAATGCCCGTTCGGCAAAATGTCCGTTCGATGAAATGTCCGTCGGCAAAGTGTGCGGGTACCGGCGTTTTGAGATGATATTCAACGGAGTGACGTCATTATGATGAACATAAAAAATCGTGTTCAACTGATTGACGTGAAAAATCAAATTCAACGTTATAATTTCATGCTGTGGAAACACCAGTACGAAATGTGGAAACACGACAAAAATATGACGCCGCATTCGCCGTGTTTCCAGGTTTTACGGAAACAACTTTTAAAATATGGAAAAGAAATATCAACGAAAGGTTTCGAAACTCCCCAGTAACGTTTGAATGAAAAATGAAAAGATTGCGAATGGGAAAAAAGAACTAGTCATTGTTTCGAGTATGGCGTCGCCGTTGGTTTAAGAGACACGAATATTAAAATATAAAGAATAAACATCAATGAAAACAGCCAGGAGGCTTCAGATAATAACACAGACATTGGCATTGACAATTCTTCATATCATGCATAATAATATACATAAAAATATTACTGGACTGTGATTGGTTGATTTCAGTGCAGTCAATAATCTCAAATAGCATTGCAAAATTTGCAATCGCAGTGCAATTTTTTGTAATCACAATGCAATTTTCTGTAATTACAGTGCAATTTTCTGTAACCATAGTGCAAAAATCTGGAACAAACGGATCTGATTGGTGGGAAAACAATGTGATGAGAAAATCAACCAATCAGTTTAAAGCAGTTCTCAACTATTATGCACTAGTCAATTGAAACCCCGGCCCCCTGGGACAGGGAGGGAATTAACGGGGGAATGGCCGTGGATTAACGCGGTCTTAATGCACCATTTCCCCCGGGGTACAGGGTAAATAAACAGCCGAAAAATTATGCAAATCTCGAAAATATGTTGACAACCTCTACACCCATTAGCAGCGGCGGCACGAACAAAACAAAAGAGGTTAGTAATTCAAATCCTCACATTAATCCCGTTGTTGTTCGGACCGCTAACGATGCATGCTTCACACCAATAAAAGTACCGGATAACACAGAAACTCTTACTCACTCACAAGAGGAATTAACCCTGACAAAGGTAGTTTTCCCTGTTAGGAACAATAGTGAACAGTCGAAAATAGGCGAGCTTTCCCATACGGGAAGCCGTATAAATCCTATTCAAAAAGAACAAAGCTGTCATTATAATGTTCCTGGTAGGCAATCTTGCTCTAGTTATTTACATGATCGTGGTCAACAATTTCGAAGCATTCCAGTACGTATCACTCACCGTCCACTGCCAGTGAACCCAGAGAAAGTAAATAAACATAGACGTGCGTACCGGAGTCAGGTTTTTCGACATCGACATCAGACGGACTGGCTCAGGCATCTGGAGCTGGTCCGCAAAGTAATTCGGTCATAAAC